GCACTTAATCCGAATTAATGCCCTCTTGCCTGCACCCCCCCAACACATGCAGAACTCACGTGTCTGACACACACACCCACTACCTCTCAGGATGCAATTCCCCACCCCATTCACAGACAACGCAGGTGTCCAACATGCGCGCACACGCACTTCTGCTACCCCCAGGATATGATCAATTAAACCGGATTAAGACCCCCACATTCACACACACAACCAGTTAATCCAAATTAATTTATGCACACATAACTGCTACCTCCCAGGATGGGATGGTAGTTAATAAAGATTAACCTCCCATTCTCTCTCTCTCACCCAGGGCCCCCCAACTCAGGGTACGAGTTAACTCCAGCCAAGCATAGACCAGCCAGGCCAAGCCGCATTTACCCCAGAGCAAAGGTCACAGGGTCCGATCCAGATTAAGGGCCTGGCTCAGATGCCTCAGCTGGGGGGTGCAGGACAAGGGTGAGTGTGTGAACACGAATGTCCAGAACACCTGGTCCCAGGGCACTCTGAGATGAGCAAAGTTGGGGGGGTGCTGCACCCGGGGTCTTAGTGGCTCACAAGTGCCACCTGGTGGCCACTGGGACAACAGCACCTGTGCCCCCTGGTGGTCAAGCCAGGCACTGCACCTGTGCCCAGCAGGGGTCCCTCCAGTCACTGACTGGCCACTGGGGGGGGAAGTGCCCCCCCCCCCCCCCCCGGGGGGGAGCAAGCATACCTTAAAGGGGTCCAAGGGAACACCTGGGTTCTCCAGCCCTGGGAGGGGAGGGGGGGAAGGAGCCCAGACACCTGGGTTCTCTCCTGCTTCAGGGGACAGTGTGGGGCTGGGGGGCAAGAGCCCAGATGCCTGGGTTCTGGGAAAGGACTGGGGCCCACAGCTTTGCGGCGTGATGGGACGGGAGGCCAGCTGCCTGGGTCCCTCTTGGCCCCCCCAGTGACACTGCAGAGCCATCTCTACCAAAGCCTTGTGTTTATTGGCTGCCACGCGGCGCGTACAGGACATCCAAAAATCAAGAGGTTGGGGTTTCTTTTTTTTGGCTTTTGAGTTTTGTAGAAAAATACACTCTCCCACCCGCTCCCCATATTTATATTATGTACAAAACCACAGGGGAATCATCTTATAAAAAGCCCCCACTGGCCCACAGGTGCTAGGGCCCTGGCTCCATGTGCCAGGGTGGGGAAGGATCCTGTTGGCCCCAGGGGCCCGGCCCAATCCTGGGTGGGGGGGATGATGCTGGGTCCCATCCAGTCCAGTCCTGTGTGGCTCCAGCTGGCGCTAGGCTCTGGGAAGGCATGGCAGAGCTGGGAGCGCCTAAAGGAGGGGAGAGGGTGGTGGTTATGTATAGGCCTTGCCCCCACAACTCCTCCCCCTCCCCCCCAGCACAGTGACTCCCTGGGCTAGAGGGGTCACTGGAAGAAGTCAATACCGGAGCTGGGGTCACTAGAGGGAGCTGGTACAGGTATGTGGGGTCACGAAAAAGGTCACATACAGGCTGGGAGGGGAGGGGAGGGGAAGAACATACCAGGGCTGGAGTTGCTAGAGGGGGCTCATATAGACATGTGGGGGAGATGTATGGAGACCAAAGTCACCAGAAAAGGCCGAAGTATGTGGGGGCATGTACTGGGACCAGGATCACTTGACGTGACCTGTACAGGAGTGCAGGGGACACATACCAGGGCTGGAGGTACGCAGGGAGTTTTACCAGGGTCACCAGACGGGGCTGGTGGAGGGGTGCAGGGGCTGGTACAGATGTACAGGAGATCGTACCGGAGCCAGGGTCACTAGAGGGGACTTGTACAGGTGTGCAGGAGGCACATACCAGAACTAGGGGCACTAGAGAGAGCTCATATTGGTGTGCAGTAGGTCATACTGGGGCCAGGATCACCAGAAGGGGCTGGCAAAAGCAGACAGGGCGAGGTACCAGGGCTGCAGTCACTAGAGGGGACTTGTGAAGGTGTGCAAGGTCGTATTGGGGAGGGGGTCAGGTATGCAGGGGGTCATACTGGGCCCACAGTCCCCAGAGTGGCTAGCAGAGGTGTACAGGGGCATGTGCCAGGGTCACTAGAGGGGACTCGTACAGGCATGCAAGGGGTCACACTGGGGTAGGGGGTCAGATCATACTGGAGCCGGGGTCTCCAGAGGGGCTGGTAGAGGCACATGGGGCACATACCAGGATCGGGGTCACTAGAGGGTACTCATACAGGTGTGTAGGAAATTGTACAAGGGGTTAAGTGTGCAGGAGGGGTTGTACCAGGGCAGGAGTGCCCACAGGGGCCAGCAGAGGCACATACTGGGGCAGGGGTAAGGGGTGCGGGTGGGCGGGGGGGAGGGGTGTCGTACTGGGCCTGGGGTCCCCAGAGGGGCCAGCAGAGGCACGTACCGGGGCCAGGGTCACTGGGGCACCAGGCCCTGCAGCAGCAGGCGCCGCCCGGCATCGTAGTCATCCTCATCCACGCTGACCAGCAGGCGGATGGCCTCACGGCCCACGGCCTCACGCAGTGACTCAGTAAGGAAGACACCCTTGAGGGCCTCCAGCAGAGCTCCACTCATGTAGTCGCTCCAGAAGGCGTCCAGGTAGGACAGCTCCGAAAACTTGATGTCGCAGATGATGGAGCCCAGGTCCCGTGCCTTTAACACCGTGCTGGCCTGGCTGAAGACGTCCAGGGCCCGCTCCAGCCGGTGCTGCCGTGCTGAGGCCACATTCTGCCGCAGCACCGCCTCATGCTCGCAGTACTCGGCCCGCACCCGCAGCCGAATGTCTGCCCGGCCCACGCACGCACCCACAGACAGAGAGGGGTAGAGGGGGCAAGGGCAGACGGGGAGAGACACAGGGGAGGAACAGAGAGACATAGACCAGCACGGTTAGGAAATGGAACAGTGGGAGCACATGCGGACGACCCAGAACTGCCCTCACCTCCCCACCAACGGACACACAGCTGCGTGTCCACGCACACCATATTCCTGGGCCCCCCAACACCCCCACCCCCATGGGGGCCTGGTGCTGGGCCCCCCGCCCAGCCCCACTGGGCAGGGCAGGGCGGGTTGTGGGGGCAGCGCCAGGCCAGGTTTCAAGGCTCTCAGTGGGTCCTTGCAGTTTTTGGGCATATTTTTTTTTTTTTTTTTTACCACACTGTACCGGCCGCTGGCCAGGGCCGATACTTTTTGCTTTTCCAGAGGTCAGAGGAACTGCGGACTGAGAGAAACACGGTTCAAACTTTCAGCACACTGTAATGGGCACGACATCGCAGCGGGGGTCGGCCCGCACCAAGACCTGATCTTTCCCCGCCAGCCCCCCGCCCCGGCTGGGGGCCACTGGAGCTCTCCGGCCGGACATGCATGTGTGCGAGCATGCGTGTATGTGTACGTGTGTGTGTGCAAAGGGGGAATGGAGCCCCGGGCGCCCCCAGACAAGTGATGGCAACACGGGGAGGCGGTTACCTTGGCGAGCCAGGGCCCGGCAGAGCACACAAGAGACGCAGCGTCTCTTGAGCAGGCAACTTTTGCTTAATGACCTGGAAGTCAAACGGGGGGTTGAGAGAGCAACGGCAGCAACAGCAGAGCAGCAACACGCACCCCCCAGCGAAGGGAAGCAAGGGGGACACAGGGGGGCACAGACCGGACCCATGGGTGACGCCGGAGAGGCCTAGACCTGGGAAGCAGCTGCGGTGGTGGCGACGCCTGCGCCCTGGGGCCTGCGCGGGTTGTGCGCTGGTCGGGGGGAGCCACCCCATGGGATGAGGGGCTCGGAGACCGGCGCGCAAGCCGGGGCAGGGGGCAGCGTGGCCCTGGCTGCATGGAGTGAGCAAGGCGCGGGGTCCCGGGGGGCGTCACCCCCCGCCAACAGGGCCGGGGAGGGGGCCGGGCCGGGACACCTACCACAGGTCACCTTGGTGGGGGCTGGCGAATCCTGCGGGGGGGTAGCGGGATGCTTGGCCCCGGCCCGGCGCCGTGCCAGCGTCCGGCCTCTGCTGGCACGTTTCCGCTTCCCAGACACACAGCCTGGCAGGGAAGAGACACGGGAGGTCAATGCCTGGTGATTTCGAACTCCCCAAACCTATCTGCACCCAGCCCCCCTGCCTCACCTGTCTCCCAAGGGTCCTGCCGGGGGTCGGCAGAGGCCGCATCAAGGCAGCTGCCCACTGGGTGCTCAGCAGACGAGACGGCCGGCCCATACGTGTACCGCTCTGGGGACACTGCATGGGGGGAAAACACTGTCATCATCACTCAGGCATCTGGGCTCCCCAACCCCTCCTCCTGGCCCTGTACCGGTGAATCACCATTGCCCAGCCCCTCCCAAAGAACCCAGGAGTCCAGGATCCTCCCCAATCCCTTCTCTTGGCCCCGTACCGGTGCGCGGCCTCTTGAGGGTGACATAGGGCAGCAAGTCATGGCGCGTGAGCACCCGCAGCAGCTCCAGCAGGTGCCGGAAGTTGCCCTCATGGCAAAGTCCACGGTGCTCCAGCTCCAGCAGCAGCTCTATGCCGTTGTAGGGGGTGCGACGTGGCGCCAGCACCTCTAGGGGAGCCGTCTCGGGGCTGGCAGGTGACGAGGGCGGATAGGGCTTGGTCTCATCCAGCAAGAAGGCCAGCACAGCCACATCGGCTGCGCTCAGCTGTGAGCCCACCACCTCGAAGAGGCGGTGCAGGGACAGCATCCCGTAGTACTCCAGGCACTCCTCCTCCTCCCAGGGCTGTGCTACCCGGCGCCGCACCGCCATAGCGCTGCAAGGACCTCAGCACAGGCAGGACTCAGTGCTGTAGAAGCCTTGGCACGGGTGGGGTCGGGATGCCTGGATGGCGTGGCAGGGCCGGGCCGGCTCTGAGCGCAGGGTCTTGGGGCTCTAGTCTGTGGATGGGAGCCCCCAGACTCATCAGGCCAGCAAAAGGGATGGAACCCAGCGTCCCCGTGCCCTGCCCGCCTGCTCGGACATGCCCCCCACTCCCCAGAGAACCCAGGGGTCTGGCCCTGCCCAGCACAGCACAGCGCTGCTTCATGGCAGCTCGGGCAGAGCGCACCGGGCTCCAAGCGGGGCCAGCAGTGGGCACAACTCCCCCCTCCAAGGCCCATGACAGGGCGGGGGGCGGTGTCGGACCACACTCAGCGTGCAGCGCTACCCCACCCAGCACCCAGGGGCTGTGCTCCCACCGCCCCGTGCCCTCATCCCTCCTGGCTCCCCACCCCATGGTTCCACCCTGTGCCCCCCCTAGCAGCTTGGTTCTTTCTAGCCCCCGCCCTGGCAGCCATGTTTTTACGTCCTGTCCAGGATGCCCCCCTGCAGCCACAACTCCCTCATGCAGCGCAGCGCAGCGCAGCTCAGCTCAGGGCCACCATATTCTCCCCCCGCCCCGGATACAGCCTCACCTCCTTCGCCAACAACTATCCCCCTCCCCCGGAAGCCATGTTGTTTCCCTGCAGCCCCTTCCCACACCGGGCCCCAGGCCTGGTCCAGACAGGCGGGCCCCGCCC